CCGCCACTCTCACGGCTCATTGCAGTGAGTGATGGCGTCACACACCGCTTCACGCTGCCTCTGACCCAGCGGTTTCCATAGCGACTACCAGCCCCGTGCAGCTCCCGCAGCCCCCGGCCCCCCGGGGCAGCCCCCCCAGCAGCCGCTGCCGCCTCGGGACCCATGGGGAGTGGGAGGGAGCATCCTCATCCTCCTCCCCCTGGCCCCCACCCGGGGCTGCAGAGCACCCGTCCTCGTCCGCAGGCAGGAGGAAACAGGGACAGGCTCCCAGCGGGGCTGCCAGACCCCATCTCATCAGCCCCGCAGGCAGGGGGCCAGGGCAGGCAGGGGGCCAGGCATGGCTGGAAGCTGCAGCAGGGGCTCTGCGTGAGCACCCTGGCCCCATGGCTTTGAGACGGGCTGTGGCTCCTACTGAGCTCTCAGAAAGCAGGCAGGGATGGGCAGGTGAGGGACACGCTACCTGAGCCCAGCTCCCCTGGCACAGGCTTCAGCCAGGACCCTGCCTTGGGACAATGAGTAGCCCTTGACCCAACCTTTTCCACCTGGGACATCCTCTGCCAGGAGCCCCCCGCTCATCCCCAACCTCTGAGGTGCAAAGCAGAAGCACCCGGCTTTGTGACAACCAAGGGCCCAGTCCTGCATCCAGCCCTGTTACTGCTGACAGGCACTGCTTACCCCTTTCGCTCCCCCCCCCAAGCCAGGGGTACCCACTTTGTGACCCTGCTCCAGCTGTAGGGAAGAGATGAGAGGAGAAGTCACCTCCCCAGTTGCTAATTGCTCCTGGAGCACTGGGCATAAATACAGATTCCCTCACAGCCTGTGAAATACCGACATCAGATTGAAGGGAAGGCACCAGTGCTGGTCACAGGTCAGGATTAGGCACTGAGAGGAGGGATTCACTTTCCTAAACCGTACCCTTTAGAGTGAGACGGCCACTTGACAACTGTCCCGAAGCATCTTCATTTGAAAAGCCACAACTTCACTTGGAGAGCTTCAGTGTCCGGGGTGCAGCAGCCCTGGGTGAGGGGGGTCCCGTCTCCTCCCTCTCCATACCGCACCATTAAGACAGTTTGCAGAGTGCTGCTCCCCTCTCTGAAGCCCTTTGCAAGACACTGACTACACAACAGGTACTTGGCAACAGGGGAAGTCTGGCTTTAGCAAATATTGGTTCAGGCCCAGCAGCATGAGCAGGCGCAGAAGCACCCCTCACACCCGGGCAGGAGCATTCAGGCTCCTCAGCAGGGGCACCCCCGAGGATCAGCGCAGGGCTGGGGGTCCAGCCAAGTTCACTAAATTCACTTTCCATACCTGGAGATGCTGAGGACGCTCAGAAAGACTGGCCTTTCCTCAGGTGTTTATTCTGCAGTGAACTTCTCCCCCCTTGCTCCTGCTCCCAGGCGGGAGCTTGCGTGGAAGAGCTGTTTGACCCAGAGAGCTGGTGAGACCAGCGTACTCCCGCTGAAAACCATCCACGTTTCCGTTAAGTCAACACTTTCCTGTTAAAGGCATCTTTAGAGAAGTTCCCTCCACTGTCAGACGAGATGTCCTAGTTACACACACAGTCAAGAGCTGGCTCTGCGGTGCCGGAGCGCACACAGGCAAGCGAGCATGGATGTTTTCCCTCCAGCACCCAGACACGGGCTCTGCCACATCCCTGCATCCTCCTGTCGGCATGGCGGCTGCAGGAGGATGCCGGAGAACATGCTGACCCAGCCCGTCCCCTCTGCAGGAGTCACCCAGCCTGGCCCAGCCACGCTGGGCCCCACGGGGGTTTCCACCACAGGAAGGGATGGGACAGCGGAGGCACCGGCAGGATCTGTCCTCCCGCCAGGCAGCTGCTGCCGTTTCCATGGCGACCCAGCCCATCACGTGCGCCCACCCCACAATCGATATTTGCTTTGCCTGCAGCAAGAGCTGGGAGGCCATAATTACTGCACCAGGCAGCTAATTAGCAATTCATTACTTGTCCAAGAGGGACGGGGATGGGTACAGGGATCCCGCCTCGCCGGGCGGAGGACAGCGCTGCAGGCCTCGTGCCTTTCCCAGGGCACCATTGCCTGGTTTTCTTGCCACGCTGCCTGGTTTTCACCGGGAGGAGGAACAAATGCAGGAGCCGCTGCCCACAGCTCTACCACATCTCCATGAACCCTCTGGAGCACCAAGCATTGCCTGGCTCAGGACAGCAGCGGGCTCCTGAGCAAGCCTGGGGTAGGGCAGGAGATGCCATGGATGCTGGCGGTGCTCTGCTGCTCAGGACGACGTTCTGGAAGATCAGGTTGCAACAACCTTCCTGGCATTAACGACCACCAACCTTACCTAGAAAATCAAAGAGGAACGGCAGGATGCTGGCTTGAATGCCCAAGCCTTTGGCATTCAGGAGCGGGCTGCGCACCTTGTAACCGGAGAACTCGCTGAACCAAACCGGGAGCAATTAACTTGCTCATTCCTGCAGGGTGGCGATGCATACAGCTCAGCATTACTGCCACACAAGCATCGAGAGGGGCCAGGGAAGAGGCAGCTGTTACAAATCCTATTACACTTTCACGGAACAACAGTGATCTCTTTCAGCAGCCCGAGGCTCCTGCAGGACCCCGCTCAGTAACCTTGGAGGCTGGAGGCTGTACCCAGATGCCTATGAAATAAGCTTGTGTTTAATGCTAATGTGCTCAACACAAAGGGAATGTGGCCAAAGGACAGAAAACAGCAGAGCCACAGAAGCAACAGCTCCGTACGTTTCATTCCTTCTGTCCCTGGAAACATGGGTGCCTACCCACGTGCACCAGTGTTCCCAGCGCTGGGACGAGGAACAGGACTGCAGCGCTGCACCCCTCGTTTCTGTTAGAGAGATCTGCAGCGAGGCCGGCAGCTCTCGACACCGAGCCTGCAGGAAGCGAGCAGCACAGCGCGCTGGCTGCCAGCCTCCAAGGGGCTCCGGTGCACGCGTTGGGCGCCCGGGTGGG